TAGTCTACATTGCGTGTAAGCCGGCGGGTGACCCGGGTTCGAGCTCGGATGGCTCGCAGCTCGCGCTTCTCTGCACGATTGTGGGCTTTTGCTACGTCATGGCCGACGTCGCGCAGGACGGTTTGATGTTGACGTACGCGCAGCGCGAGCCGATCGCGATCCGCGGCCGCTTGCAGTCGATGATCTACGCCATACGCTCGGTCTTCATGGCCATCATCTATCTCATTTGTGGTCTCTGCCTCAACTCGAAGGAGTTTTCTGGCGATTTTGACTGGGACATTGGTATCAACGGGTACTTTTGGATTTTGGCCGTCCCGTCCATCATCAACGTGCCAGTGATTTGGTTCTTTGTCAAGGACGCCAAGCGCGAGCGTGTCCCCGTGGGTATTTACTTTGCCAAGTTTTGGGAGCTCGTCCAGCACCGCGCCGTGTGGCAAGTGCTCTGCTTCAACTTTCTCTTCTCGCTCTTCACGGGCAACATCACGTCGACGGCGACGTACTACGTATCGCTCAACTGGGCCAAGGTCGAGAACCTCAACAACCAGATCATGGGCGTCGTCGGTCAAGCCGTATTTGCGGTCGTCCTGATTCTCACGGGTACCTATGGGACGCACTGGAACTGGCGCTACGTGCTCGTCATCACGATCTTGTGTGCCAACGCGATCGACTCGGTCTGCCAGTTCTGCACCGTCTACGCCGTGGTGCGCAACCAGTGGTTCTACCTCGGCGTGCCGATCATGGAGAACATCCCGTCTGGCATCAACTTTGTCATTGGCACGTACGTCATTGTCGAGCTCGCCGAGGTCGGCAACGAAGGCGTCATGTACGGTCTTTTGACGACGGTGTCGAACCTCCCGGGTACTTTGGCACGATGATCACCAACATCATCGATGGCTCTCTCGATTACAACAAGAAGCTCATCAAGGCTGACTCGGACGAGACGCGCAACCAAGTCGCGTACTCGTACATTATCTCGTATTGCTTTGCTGTCGTTGGCTGCTGCTGGGTCGTCTTGCTTCCGCCGCAAAAGGCCGCGGTGGGTGCCGAGCTCAAGAAGCACGGCGGGCGCCACCGAGTGGTCGCCACGTGCCTCTTCTACTCTTTGTGATTCTCTGTTGCTCGATCACGGGCACACTCATGTCCATGTATGACGAAACGAGCTGCGCGCGCCTCGCCGGTGGTACGGTTGCCCCGAGGGGATGTACCTTCTTGGCATCTTCATCCCGAGCGCTGTCGCACTTGTCTCGATCCTCTACACCGCGATGGTGCTCAAGTAGGCACTAACATATTGACTCGATTGTTGTTGTTGTTGAAGTGGGTCGTCTATTACAATAGATAAAACTATGCTAAATAAAATTGTCGGACTTTCTTCGTTGTGTGTACTCTTTTGAGGGACTTGATTTAGGCAGGCGGATGCAGGAGCGCGATCCGCGGGACGAGGTGACGTCGCGGCCACTCGTGTTGGGCGAGGAGCTGGAGAAGACTACGAAGAGCAGGATGCTAGGGCTCTTGTACGAGGCTGTGGTGCACGTGCAGTTGAGCGACACGTGCCGC